ATGAAAGAAGACCCCAGGAAGCAGAACTGGAGATAGGAAAAAAGAAGAAAGCTCTATGCCCTTCCCTTTTGCAGCCACCGCATCCTGACACAATCTTCATCTAGACTGCAACAGCAGTAAACAAAAGAACAAATATCTGAGTAGGGAAGAAAGGGCCTAGCAAGCAACATATTCATTACAGTGGTAAGTAAAGAGATGGAAAAGAAGATGAAAGATAACCATGGGGAGAGATGGGACAGGACAAAGTCACAGAAGGTAATATACATTCAGTTACAATTACAAATATGAGAACATTAAGTGGCATGAAAAGCAGTCAACAGACTAAAAGGATGATTCACATACAAAAAGGTAGCATTGGTATAGCAATCTGGAAATAAATATATGTTAAGTTCTTCAATACAATAAATGAAATGGTTCTTAAATGTGGTAGATTTAACACATAATTTTAGATTTCCTCCGTCTCTAAAAAAAAGTTCTTCTAAAAACAGTGAAATTATTTAATTTTTTAAAACTCATAAACCCAGAAAGACCAAGAAAACAAGAGAAAAGAAGATAACAAATAGCCTACCTCAAAATTTTGGGGAGCTGGAAAGCAAATAAAAAATGTAAATGAAAACATACTAGAAAAGACAGAAAGCTAACTACTACAAGTGGTAGGCTAGGGTGTGGGGATAATAAGGAAACAGATTTATACTGTGAAATCCCAGCAAGAATCAGAAACTGGAGGTACCAGATAGTTTCAAATACAGAAAGAATTGGTAAAGTATCCATATAAAAAACAGTCGTACCCCCACAAAGCTCCCTCGCTTACTAGGCAAAGCCAGGAGACTATCCCTCCCCATCATAGCAGAAATGATATTGGATTTTATAAATAAACTGAAACTAAAGGACTATCGACTCAGAGACATCTGGCACAGCTAAAAGTGGCAATACCATACTGAGAACAATGCATTAATTAAAAGTCTCCTGTTCTGGTACTTTTGCTCATATCTCTAAGGCAAAAAAGTAGAAGATCCTTTGGAAAATATACCACCCCAAGAGAAAAGTGCCTGTTAATACTAAAAGTTAAAGAAAAAGTTCTTGAAAAAATTGGAATAAGATCATGTCAAGCAATCCACCTAATTAATTCCCCCTCAGCCTTCCTATAGTGAAAGAGCACTGGACTAGAAGTTAGGAATCTCAGACTGAAATCCTGTTCTCCATTATGCATTAGTCATATGATCCCATGAACAAGTCCCGGTAATCCTCTAGAGCTTGAGTTTTCTCACATTGCAACGTGCAGATAACAATACCCCTCCAATTTTCCAGGCTTACAAGGATCAAATACGCACTGGTAGTGCTGTAGGCACTGGGTTAGAAGCTTAGCACATAATTTGCTTGGAACTTCACAACAACTTTATAAGATAGTACTACTATCAGCCTTGTTTTATAAATGAAGTAGAGACCTAGTGTTTTCAATAACTTGCATATGAAAGTTACTAATATTAAATTACCTTAATTTCTCTCTCTAGTAACTCCTTCTTGCATATGAAAGACCTATACAAAGTGAGAAATCCAACCATCTGAATTTTCTCACATTCTAAAAATTAGAGTCATCCAGTTATAATAACCTCAAGTTTGCATGGTAACCTCAAGTTTGCTGGAAAAACTTGAGATTAGCCTAAAGAAATCCATCTGCAAAAAAATATGATTCCCTCAAAAAAAAAAAAAAAAAAACTGAAAACAGGTCCCCATCATCACTTTAACACCAATTAGTCAAGGGAGTGCTGATGAATGTGTGAGTAAGTGGGGAGGCTATGTGCAATAAGCCCTTTGAGGGCTGTTCTAAAGAAAAAAAAAAACAACCTAACATTTACGGAAATGTTTTGCTTAGTCTGGTAATAAATGTCTGTAACACTGAAGTGTTTGCCAGCATAACTCTCCTCACACAATGGCTGTGTGAACAGTTTTTTAACTGACTTACAAACTGGCACTAGGGAAAAGCTATAACCATGAACAGAATGCCCAATAATATGCTTCCAGGCAAAAGGCTACATGACTAGTTCCAGATTTGATTGTTATGATTCATAAATTCCAAAGACCTCCTGCTTCCCCATATCACAATGTAGTTAAGTTTCACTGGTCCCTGTGGAGATGAAGAGAATTAATTCCTCACACACCTTAGGAATAAATCCATCAGCCTGGACTCAACAAGAAAAAAGACAACTTGGCACCTGAATAGAACAGGTGAGAAAGAGCTGGATCTAGGTACAGAAAGCTGCCTTTATAGTGATTTTGCAGTAGAGCATTGGACATACAATATGGTTATTCACATTTTAACCTAACATGAGAATTTTTTAAGCCAACTGTTTCACATAGACTTTGAGGTACCAATTATTTTGGTCAATGCCAAGAAAAAAATGAGCCAAGAAAAAATGCAAATTTCAATGCTTACAAATGTTATTGTTTCAAAGGCTTATTTTCTTCAAAAGAGATTTAGGTGAGATTTCTTTGAATTGTCTGTGGTTTAATGAAAAGATCAAGTCAATAAGATTATCTGAGCCTCATACTCTAGATAATTATTAAAAAAAGAAAAAACTAAAAAGCAACTGTGAGGAAAAACTTAAGAAGGGGCACATATATGTGAGTTGACCTATGGCCCCCAAATCTAAAATATACATAGAGCAACCGACTAGTTCAAAGACCAGTTAGACAGTTGGATGCTGCAATATGATGGGCTTTACTATGCAGATAATCAGTGATTAGAGCTGCAGAGCTGATCAATAAATCTGATTCTAGAATGTGTGAGTGTGAGGCAAGTAAATGAATAGAATAGTCATTAAAGTCAACGATATTCTTGACTTAACAATGCAACCTGAAGCAACTCTAGGGAAACAGTGAAAAGAAGCTGGAACCAAGAATCTAAAAGCACCGTGTCAACCTTAGCAAAACAAAGGCCAAAGAAAGGATTAGCAACAATGATAGGCTCATGTTCTGGGTGCCTACTCTGTGCCAAGTAGCATAAAAAACTCTTCATGTGCATTAACTTATTTAATTTAATCCCCTCAGCAATATTATTATTCCCATTTTACAGATGTAAATATGTAGGTTCAGAGATTAAGTAACTAAATTGCCAAGGTCATAAAACTTGTAAGGGAGAAACTAGGATATGAACACAGGTCAGTCTGATGGCAGCATAGGTGTTTTAATAATTCCTGAAAGAGAGTTTCAAAAATTCATTTTTTATTTATCAAAAACATTTTTAAAGACCAATTATCAATCTCAAAAGTCCAAAATAAGATTCAAATAGCCTCCAAATTGCACAAAACAGAAATATAGCCAACTAACTAAATATAAATAAAACTCAAAGAGACAGCAATGAAATCATATTATGTAACACAGAATGTTCAATTAGAACCTCTCACAGAGACAGGGACCACTCTCTATAGTCTGTGCTATTGTTGGGGACAATTCTAATTAATACTAAGTTCTCTATACTATGTTGAAATCCTCTTCCCTTTAACTTCCATGCATGGGTCCCCTTCTACCTTCTGTACAGGTTTAGACTGAACCCCTTCTGCATATTGTTAGAGGCATCCAGAATATTACCTCTCTGTCTTTTCCTACTTAAGTAACCTCAGTCTCTTCAATCATCCTTCACATTAGAGTTTTCCTGACCCTTGGCCCTCTGTTCATTTTTATCTAGATGCATTCCACTTACAAATATCTCTCTTCACATACAACACTAAATCTGTATGGATACTTCTAGAATGATCTAACTAGTAAGGAGTATAGTGAGACCATTAGAGACCATTACCTCTTTTGCTACAACCTGAAATTGATTAACTTCTTTTTTTGCCATCATATAACACTGCTGACCTATGCATGTTGAACTCTCAGTCTTTTTTGCATATGTGCTTATCTTTGGAAATTGAATTAAAGGCCCTAAATACAAGACTTTGTATTTATCTCAATGGATTTTTGTCTTGTGAAGCTTGATTAAAATCCAAACCAGAGACTGATACAGATGCTAAACCCTAAAGAGGTATTTTGTTTTTTCCCTTCTGCCACTTTGAAAGCAATGTTCCCAGCTGGTGGGTGCTTTGTCAACTAGATCAGAAGTAGGGACAACAATGTAGTGCAACAAAGTTTCCTGCCAAAGCATGGTGGACATGTAGTAGGAGCAAGAAATAGTCCTTTGTTGTCTTAAGCCATTTAGGTGTTGGTTTGGCTTATTCTTACAGTCTGGCCTAGCCCGATGAATAAAAGACCTTAAGTTTTGTGACATAGCAGCTGACCTTCAGAACTATTGTCCTATCTGTGAAGTTTGCCACCATTGTCACTGTACATACATACATACACCATTCTCATGTTCTTTTTTCTTTCAAAAACAGAATTCTGCCAAGCAGACTCGATTTAAAGTCCAAAGATTTCTTCACTCCTGGACTGGTACAGTGACTTCCAAGACAGATGCATGCAATTCTTGTCCAAAGGACCACATTACAGCATCTTGTAAACATCCAGATATTCAGTTTAATCACATGTGTCATGTTTTTTTGTTCTCAAAATGCCATCACCACACAAAAGAATCCTGTGTTGTTTTCTCTGGTGGGTGGGATTACATTATTGGAAAAGGAAGAGAAATGTTCAAATAAAAATTACTGATGGAATTTCTAATATTTGGCAGTAAGAATTTAACCTTTAACTAAAAAGCTAGTCCAAGAAGACACTGAAAAAATAATTTAATTTAATGAACCACAAAACAATTTCTGCTCATACTAGTCAATTATTTACCCAAGTACTGATTGTATGACACAGAATGTCACCTAATCACTCACTGTTTTCTCACAATTTCTTGTGTATTTCTCTTGTTTTTCCTAATGAGGCTGTAAATAGCTAAAGAGCAAAATTATCTTGGATTTCATTTAAACAAATGACATCTCTTGGCAACACTGAGTCTATATAGAGAGTGCCCAGTCAACATCTTTTCAGCACATCTTAACAATACTTTTTTTTTTTCACAGAGAGCAAATTTATTTGGTGAATGCTGACGCAAACATCATCCAAGAGAGGCAAGATGGGCAAGGTGCTGTGACCAGAAGGCCTGGGACGCCTTCAGGAAAGGCAGGGAAAGGCATGGGCTTTGGGGAGAGGGAAGGTTCTCAGCCATTCAGCACCATACAGACCAGCTCTTCATAGTTGATACAATCATTGCTATCCTCATGCCCTGCCACCAGCATCTCTACTTCTTCATCTGTCATCTTCTCACCCAGAGTGACAAGAACATGTTGCATATCCACACCCATCACGATGCCGTTCCCTTCCTTGTCAAACACCCGAAGTCCTTCAACATAATCCTCATAGGTGCTCTGGTCCTTGTTCTTGGCCACAGTTTGGAGCATGGACAGGAAGTGCTCAAAGTCCAGCACCTTCACATTCATCTCATCACTCTTGGGCTTCCCCAGGACCTTGAGGACCCCGGCGTTGGTGGGGTTCTGGCTGAGGGGCCTCATCACATCCCCACACTGACTGTACAGGATCTTACCAAATACCCTGTTCCATAAAACAGTTGGAAGGCCTCCTTGAACTCTGCGGTCTGGTCCTCAGTGAAGTCACACAGCTTGACCGCTCAGCTCTGTGGGACCTTTTCCTCTTTTTTTTTTTTTTTGAGTTGGAGTCTCACTCCTTTGCCCAGGCTGAAATGCAGTGGCATGCTCATGGCCATCCCAGTGTTGACCTGCTGGGCTCAGGCGATCCTTCCACCTCAGCCTTCCAAGTAGCCAGAACTACGGGTATGTGCTGCCATGCTCGGCTAATTTTTTTTTTTTTTGTAGAGATGAGGTCTCGCCAAGTTGCCCAGGCTGTTCGTGATCCCATGGGTGCGAGCAATCCCTTCACCTTAGCCTCCCAAAGTGCTGGGATTACAAGCTTGAGCCACTGTGCCCAGCCAACAATACTTTTGACATCACCAATTAATTTACAATATAATTAACTAAAAAAAAACAAATCTTAATTGAGAAGAAAACTTTATATGATTTTATTGTTTTCCTTATAATCTTTTCAAAGTAACTGTAAGTACCCCTTATATTTTTTTCTATTAGCTATTATTCAGATTAGAGTTCCTCTGTGAAGTGAGCCATGACTGTTATATATTTTTGCATGCTTAATTTTCCATTATTAAAAAACTGAAAGGTGTGATATATTTTAAATGTTTACATATGTCCAGGGAATATTCAAAATTATTTCCACTGAAATTTTAGATGTCACCAAAATTAAGGTATTTGGAATCTCTTACAGAGGTTAGACTGAATATAACATAAATGGCATTTACTTTTGTATTCTAAGAAACATTAATGCTACTGTTTTCATATTGCCAAGCATCTAGATATAATTCATTTTAAGAAATATCAAAACATAAAAACCCCAACTCATAAAACAAATAAATAAAAGGTTATAATTTACTTTGGAAAAAAGAAAAAAGTATTTCTGGACGGGTGCGGTGGCTCATGCCTATAATCCCAGCACTTTGGGAGGCCAAGGTGAGAGAACTGCCTGAGCCCACGGGTTCGAGACCAACCTGGGCAGCATAGCGAGTCCTTATCTCTACAATAAATCAAGAAAAAATAGCCGGGCATGGTGGCACATGCCTGTGGTTCCAGTTATTTGGAAGGCTGAGGCAGAAGGATTGCCTGAGTATAGCAGTTGAGTCTGCGGTGGCCATAAGCATGTCACTGCACTCTAGCCTGAGTGACAGAGTGAGGCTCTGACTCAAAAAAAAAAAAAAGATATTTCTTTGCATAGTGAGTCCCTCTAAAGATTTTAAATAATTTGACACACTAAAAACCAGGTTACTGTCTGGGCATGGTGACTCATGCTTGTAATCCCAGCATTTTGTGAGGCCAAGGTGAGAGGATTACTTGAGTCCAGGAGTTTGAGGCCAGACTGAATAACATAGCAAAACCTTATGTCTACAAAAAATAAAATTAAAAAATTAGCTGGCTGTGGTGACAAGTGCCTGTAGTCCCAGCTACTTAGGAGGCAGAGGCAGAAAAATCACTTGAGTCCAGGAAGTCGAGGCTGCAGTGAGCAGTGATCATGCCACTACATACCAGGCTGGGTGACAGAGTGAGACCTCAAGTTAAAAAACAAACCAAAAAAAACCCTGAGGAGTCATTAGCTAGGAACCAAGCTGCCCATGTTCTTTCCTAGCTTACACCAATAATTACTAATGTTTTATGGGATACAGTTTTACTTAGGGAAATCTGATAGCTGCTATGAACCAACCCCATCTCCAGAAAAATAAGCACATACATATAAATTTTTACAAGTATTTTATAAAAAACAGTGACTCTGAGTTGCAAGTAGCATTAAAACAAATCAAAACCAATTGGTATCTAGAACTGCATTTTCAGTTAGAAGAAAATTTGCAGCTTAAAAGGAACACTTTGTGGAAACATTTTAATAAATGGTGCTTAGAATCTCAAGACAAGCCACAAAAATTTAAAAAAATCAGGTGAGTAAAACATTGCATATGTAAAATTTTGTAATAGCAGAAAATAATATCTGTTGTCTGGAATTATTTGATAATTAACTATTAGGTATATATGGTTGGTGCAAACTTAAGTGCAGTTTTTGTATTGTTGATATTTGCTTTTGATATTGGAATACATTCTTGTTTGTTTGTTTGTTTGTTTTTTGTTTTTTGTTTTTGAGTTGGAGTCTCACTCGGTCACCCAGACTGGAGTACAGTGGCCACTCCTGGCCACCGCAGCCTCGCCTGCTGGGCTCCGGCGATCCTTCCGTCTCGGCCTTCCGAGTAGCCAGAATTACAGGCGTGCACTACCACGCCCGGCTGATTTTTTGATTTATTGTAGAGATGAGGTCTTGCTGCCCAGGCGGGTCTCGAACCCGCGGGCTCAGGCAATCCACTCACCTCAGCCTCCCAAAGGCGCGGGATTACAGGCTGAGCCACTGAGCCCAGCTGGAACACATTCTTAATATATGTGGTTATGTTATATACCTCACTTTAGTGCATATTTCTCACTTTATGTTTTTACTAATGACTTATTACTTGCTGTTTATTTTAAATTTATTTTAGACTATGGAAATGATGTTAGACAAAAAGCGAATTTGACATATTTTCTTGAGTTCAAAACGGGTCATAAAGCAGCAGGCATCAATAACACATTTGACCCAAGAACTGCTGAAAAACATACTGTGCAGTGGTAGTTCAAGAAGTTTTGCAAAGGAGACAAAAACCTTGAAGATGAGGAGCATAGTGGCCGCCATCGGAAGTTGACAACAATCAATTGAGAGCAATCATCGAAGGTGATCCGCTTACAACTACATGAGAAGTTGCCAAAGAACTCAGCATCAACCATTCTATGTTCATTCGTCAGTTGAAGCAAATTGGAAAGGTGAAAAAGTTTGGTAAGTGGGTGCCTCATGAGCTAACCAAAAATCAAAAAAATTGTTGCTTTAAAGTATCATCTTATTCTACGCAACAACCATGAACCATTTCTTGATTGTGACATACGAGAAAAAGTGGATTTTATACAACAACCAGCAATGACCAGCTGAGTGGTTGGACAAAGAGGAAGCCCCAAAGCACTTCCCAAAGCCAAACTTGCAGCAAAAAAAAAGGTCATGGTCACTGTTTGGTGGTCTGATGCCAGTCTGATCCACTACAACTTTCTGAAATCATTACCTCTGAGATTTATGCTCAGCAAATCCATGAGATGCACCAAAAACTGCAATGCCTGCAGCCAGCATCGGTCAACAGAAAGGGCCCAATTCTTCTCCATGACCAGGTGACTGCAGTTCGCACAACTAGCACTTCAAAAGTTGAACAAAATTAAAAGAATGACCATGTTGCATGATTCACTTCCCAGGCTGAACTTTTATCTTGGCATAAACAGTTTAAGGTCCTGATATTTTATTTTATTTACAGGAATAAAATGGTTTTCTTTCTGTAAAAAAAAAAAGTTGAACAAATTGGGCCTCATCCACCATATTCACCTGACGTCTCGCCAACCAACTACCATTTCTTCAAGCATCTTGACAACTTTTTGCAAGGAAAATGCTTCCACAACCAGCAGGATGCAGAAAATGCTTTCCAAGAATTCGTTGAATCCCGAAGCATGGATTTTTATTCTACAAGAATAAACAAACTTATGTTTCGTTGGCAAAAATGGGCTGATTGCAATGGTTTCTATTTTGATTAATATAGATGTGTTGAACCTAGTTATGACTTAAAATTCATGGTCCAAAACCACAAATGCTTTTGCACCAATCTATATTTATGCAACTGGAGTAGGCATATCAGATACACAGAAGAATGTATAAGACTTGGTCATTCTTCTTTAGACAAGAATTTCTGACTGTCCCCCCAACATATATTCTTCCCGTCTTCCTTAGTAAAGCACCTTTGGTTTTTACCTGGCCTTATGGCACCCAAATAAAAGCTATGATTCCAAGCCTCTTGAAATCAAGTTCTGGCCACTTGGGTATAAGCAGAAGTGAATTGTGCACTTCTGAGAAGTATCCTTAAAAGGAGGGAGGTTTCCCTCCCTTGCCCTTCCTCCTTCCTGGTGCTGCAATATGAACATCACGGATGGGGCTCTTGTATTCATCCTGAACTATGTAATAACCATGAAAATGGAAGACTCATATGGTAGAGCAACAAACTGGAAGGAGCCTAGGCCCCTAACATGGAGCATCGTGCCAGCTATCCTACCTCTCAATTTATACAAGGGAAATAAACCGCTTTCTTGTTGAAGCTACTATTATTTGGAGTGCTTGGTCCCTTGCATCCAACCTAATCTTCCTCAAAGAGTTTATAATGCTGTTGAATATAAAAATCAGACTATGTGAAACAATGCATGAAACATTACAACCAGAACCAAATTAAAAACCAGATGAGTTTCAGTTGGATAAAAGTTTTCAACTTGAAATGGGATTCATTTCCCACAGGAACAATTTAATGAAGTGATACTCAGAGTTCCAAGATAGCCCACAAAAATCAATAACATCATGTGGTTTAAAAAAAAATGTATGCCTAGACTTTTTTTTTTTTTTTTTTAGTTGGAGTCTCACTCTGTCACCCAGGCTGGAGTGTAGTGGCATGCTCACGGCTACCACAGCCTCGACCTGCTGGGCTCAGGAAATCCTTCCGCCTCAGTCTTCCAAGTAGCTGGAACTACAAGCACACGCCACCATGCCTAGCTAATTTTTTATTGTAGAGACGAGGTCTCAACAAGTTGCCCAGGCTGGTCTCAAACTCCTGAGCTCAGGCCTCACAAAGTGCTGGGATTACAGGCTGAGCCACCACGCCTGGCCTAAACATTTTTAAACAGTAAACTTAATTGATTAATCTCACAGAAACCATAGGCTATAGCTCTCAAAAAGGAATTATATAGCACTTCCCAATAAATTACAATATGAAAACTAGAAAAATGGAGAAACAAGAATTATAAAAACTCATTTTGAATACTGGTACATTTAGAGTCACCTAGAAAACTTTTAAAAAATACTGATTCCTCTTGGACTTTGCAGCAACTTGGATGGATTTAGAGTCGATCATACTCAGTGATCTATCACAGAAACAAAGAACAGAGTACCATATGTTCTCA